CATTGTTGTTTCCCTCCGTCTTCAGGCTCTTGGCAGCTCCTTCAGTCTTGATTGTGATTAAGAGATCAGTGTTTCGGTGTTATGGAGCCAACAGGAACACGTTCTAATGACCCACTCACCTACTACGTGACAGCATGACTTCATTCTCCTTCACGTGTGTGTGTGTGTGTGTGTGTGTGTGTGTGTGTGTGTGTGTGTGTTGTGTGTGTGTGTGTGTGTGTGTGTGTGTGTGTTGGTGAAATAATGGTTTTCCAGACGGAGATCTGATTGTGTTTTTCTGCAGGAATGTTGTTTGTCAGCATGTTGACACCAACACCTGCTGCAGCGGACGACCACCGGCCTGAATATGAAAACATTACCCACAATGCATCTCTCCTTTAATAACCCGGATGTTTAACTCTGAGTTCTCACTCTGAGGCTTTAAACTCTCCACATCAGGATGAATCTTTAACGTTCAGCTCGGATTCTCTTCAGTTGTGGTTTTATCTCCTCAGTTCAGATCTTCCTCCGCCCTGTTCTTATCAGCTGCAGCGTCCAGACGATGGAGACGCCCCCCCCCCCCCCCCCCCCCCCCCCGCCACTCCCACCCGACTGAATTAACAGCAGTCTGATTCAGACCTCTCAGGGAGCTGGAGTAATTTCATGACTAAAGCAGTTACAGTGGGTGTGGTGCAGCGTGCAGTAAACATTTCAAAGTGGTCACTCACGCCACAGATACGGCGTAAAAGACTCACAGGATTCTACTTCCTGTCCTTCCAGAGAATCAACCAGGAATCATGTCCGGCCTTTTTCTTATTTATTTATTTCTGTAACCTCTGCTCCCTCAAACAGTCGTTTCAAAGTCAATCTAATAGATCAATAACTTCCAACAGGGAGGATGGCCACCCCCCCCCACACGGCCGTTTTGGACGCCCCTCAGTTTGTCAGATATGAGAGCAGTTATCAGGTCAACAGGTGTTGCAGTGATGGAAGCGGTCAAGAGAAGTGGTTCAGATAGAAGTGATTGTACCCGACCTAAAAAGCCTCTGCATGTTTCTAATAAGCTCCACGAGCAGAAACGTGCTCAAACTAGGATCAATATTGGAGATGCTTTTGAAAAATGGAGAGAGGTTAGAACACAGAAAGGTTTACAGACCCATGCAGAGCTGGATAAACACTGAAGCTTCAGAGTCCACCACATGGTGACCTGAGTGAGCATCCACTCTAGAGAGGAGGGGGAGACAGCTCTCTATGATGTTTAGAATTTAGACTGCAGTACTCATTTTAAACACTAGGGGTCAGAGTTACATACTGCTCCTTTAAGTTTTTATTTTTACTTTTTATTCTCAGTGAAGAGTCGAGGTCAGTTGTGATGGTTGTGTTTTACCCTTAAACAGGAAGTTGTCAGAGGTTTCTCTATGACGGCCCATAATGCTTTGATGTTTCCGTCATCACAGCACAGACGATGCAGCGTGTTAAGGATGTGTACGTTGGGTCGAATCAGGCGGTCTTATCTCCGCTTTCGTCCACTTTAAACACAACAACAAAAACCGAGAGTTGAGTGGATTTTTCATCAACTCGCAGCACAATGAGGCGAGTCAACATGGCCGCCGTGTCCGCTACGTTGAGTGCTTCCTGTGTGGCTCTTTAACTGTTTGTTGTTTTTGCCATAGAGAGAAAAATATGTGTCAAAGTTTGCAGAGAGTTTTCTGCACTCACACAAACTCACTCAACAAACACGGTGACAGAAGTTTCTAAGAAATCTTTACATTGAAACTTGAAATGAACAGAATCCCGCTCAGGTCACAAACTCTACCCAAATCTACTCGACCATTTACGGCTCCTTTCTCACAATTTCCTATCGAGAAGCAGGAACTTACCACGTCTGTGTCAGTGTTTCCCAATAACTAGAAAACAAAATTTAGTAGGAACACATTAAGTAACTACATGACCCCTGAGTTAATATTTTAGCCACTCCTGAAATGTTAAATGATCATGCACGCTTCATTTTTACTTTTTATAACCAAGAAACAACTAGAGATGAGAAATGAAGCCAGAAAAAGAGTTCCTGCAGCGTCCACTAGAGGCTGCCTCCTTTACCGGGCGCGTTCCTTTGGAGAAGGCGCTTGCGACAGAGTTCTTTTTTTGTTAGATTGCTGATAGACTTTTTTATTTACACATGTTCCTGCATGTTTTTATGTATGCATGAAGCTGCATGAAGCCCCATGAAGCCCCATGAAGCCGCATGAAGCCGCATGAAGCCACATGAAGTCCCATGAAGCCGCATGAAGCCGCATGAAAGCCCCATGAAGCCCCATGAAGCCGCATGAAGCCGCATGAAGCCACATGAAGTCCCATGAAGCCGCATGAAGCCGCATGAAGCCGCATGAAGCCCCATGAAGCCCCATGAATCCGCATGAAGTCGCATGAAGCCGCATGAAGCCGCATGAAGCCGCATGAAGCCGCATGAAGCCGCATGAAGCCGCATGAAGCCGCATGAAGCCCCATGAAGCCGCATGAAGTCGCATGAAGCCGCATGAAGCCCCATGAAGCCCCATGAAGCCCATGAAGCCGCATGAAGTCGCATGAAGCCCATGAAGCCCCATGAAGCCCCATGAAGCCCCATGAAGCCCCATGAAGCCGCATGAAGCCGCATGAAGCCGCATGAAGCCGCATGAAGCCCCATGAAGCCGTATGAAGCCCCATGAAGCCGCATGAAGCCCCATGAAGCCCCATGAAGCCCCATGAAGCCGCATGAAGCCGCATGAAGCCGTATGAAGCCCCATGAAGCCCCATGAAGCCGTATGAAGCCGCATGAAGCCCCATGAAGCCGTATGAAGCCCCATGAAGCCGCATGAAGCCCCATGAAGCCCCATGAAGCCCCATGAAGCCGCATGAAGCCGCATGAAGCCGTATGAAGCCCCATGAAGCCCCATGAAGCCATATGAAGCTGCATGAGGATGTTTTGTTATTCTGTGAGGGATAGCTAGACGTGTGTTTACATCACACGACTCATTTAGACAAGACATTTACAGAAAACTGAAGGTACGATGTTCTCATGAGCTGTGAACAGAACAAAAGGCAGCAGTGCTGTAAACATGTGTTAGACTCAAATGCAGGTCGGGCACGGGCACATCACTACAGGCCGTACTGGTTTCACAGTCGATGCATGTCTGTAAAATAATGCATGTCTATGTTTATGTTGTAATAACTGGGAGATGGGGGATGTGAGAGACATGCAGCAGCCGGATTTGAAGGCAGGATGTTGCTTTAACGCTGCTTTATTGTCCTCAGAGCAGCGGACCAACAGGATGTGTCCATGTCCCAATCTCTGAGTTTTTTCTTTTTCGTCCAGATTTCTGTGTTTCTTTGTGAAAGTTTGAAATAATGACAGCATTAAAAAAAATGTAAGGCTGAATTATGATGAAATTCTCTGGACTCGCAGTTGCCTTACTTCACCTCCTCCCACACCGTGAAATACAAGAAGACAGCAAACATCTGGTGCGCTCCGGCCCTCACTGGTCATCACTCAGTCACAGACTGGTGTGTAAACATGCTGCTGCTCGAGTAGACCCCCTCGCTCCTCATTGGCTCACAGAAAGACGCACGCACAGCTGATTGGCCCAAAGCTTGTTTTGAGGGAGGAGCAGCAGCAGCAGCAGCAGCGTCAGGCTCCCCCTTCCCATAAATTAAAGAGAGAGAGCAAGCTGAGAGGAGACACAGAAGAGAGAACACTTCAGACCAGGACTCTTAGTGGATCAGATCCTTCAGACCAGGACTCTTAGCGGATCAGATCCTTCAGACCAGGACTCTTAGATCCTTCAGACCAGGACTCTTAGATCCATCAGACCAGGACTCTTAGCGGATCAGATCCTTCAGACCAGGACTCTTCGCGGATCAGCTCCTTCAGACCAGGACTTCAGCGGTTCAGAGCCTTGAGATCAGGACTTTTGGCGGATCAGAGCCATGCTTGCTGTGTGTCTGGAGTTCCTCGGCCTCGCGCTGTGCGTCACGGGCTCGCTGTTTGGGATGGTCGCGTGCGGGCTGCCCACATGGAAGGTGACAGCGTTCATCGACTCCAACATCGTGGTGGCCCAGACCATCATGGACGGCCTGTGGATGTCCTGCGTGGTGCAGAGTACCGGACAGATGCAGTGTAAATTCCACGACTCGGTTCTGGGCCTCCCGCAAGCCCTGCAGACGGCGCGTGCCCTCACGATCATCTCCGCCGTGCTGGGGGTGGTCGCGCTGGCGGTGACTGTCGCGGGGGCTCAGTGCACCAACTGCATCAAGGACGAGACTCTGAAGGTGCGGGTGGTTCACGCGGGCGGCGTGATCTACATCATCAGCGGGCTCTTCGTGCTCGTGCCGATCTGCTGGATGGCCAACAACATCATCGTGGACTTCCACGACCCGCAGGTACCCTCCTCCAAGAAGAGGGAGATCGGAGCCGCCATCTACATCGGCTGGGCTGCCGCCGCGCTGCTCCTGCTGGGAGGGACCCTGCTCAGCTGCTCCTTGTCTCAGGGGGTGCGAGTGACCTACCCCATCAAGTACGCGCCCACCAAGAGCATCACGAGCACCGGAGACTTCGACAAGAAGCATTACGTCTGAACTGAACTCTCACGATGAAGGACTTTTTTTTTCCTTTTTGTTTTTCTGCCAGAGCAGAGCTGAAGCGACTTTTCTGCTGTGAACCTTTGACATGATGTGGAGACGTGATGAACACACCGAGGGGGAAACTGTAACACATGTACGGAGGACCGTTAGGGCCAAACAGAAGAGGTTTTTTCATTCTGCATTTCAGGGATCACTTTCTGTATTAGTGCCACGTTTAGGGAAGACACTTTTTCTCGACATTACGACTTTTAAAAAAAAAATGTCATTTCTTATTTGCAGATAAATTCAACAAGTCTCAGATAAAAGTTGAAATGTCAAAATACTGACGGTAAAGTCGACTTAGGATAAGATGAGTCAATTTAAAACACACTATCTTCATAAAACAATACAGATGATGTTAAAAACAACAATGGTGCAAAATACCACTGGCGTCATTTTGAGTGTGAGGTCAAATTTTATCGTCTGGCATATACAAATTATATTCAAAGAGAGGCATTGTGAGTATTTTTTTTGTGTGCAAGATGAATCGAGATTTCTCCCAAAAACTTCTGAATGTCGAGAAAAAAGATGAGTTTTGAGAATTTAGTCACTTTACTTTAAAGTGCCGAGCAAGTACGAGACTTTTGAGAAGTACGAGATATACTGACATTTGAACTTTATTTTGAAAATTCAAACTAACTAAATGTGTTTGTTCCTCCTGCCTGGCACTGACAGTCTTCTGTTCATCTGTCACTGAACTGAGTTTTATTTCAGCTCCAGATTTGTCTTTTTTTTTTGCTTTTTAATTCATCACCATCGTTAGGGGGCGTTTCCTTCAGTCTGGTAACGACCACGTCGACAGACTGAAGGTTTATCTGAGTCTGAACGGTCGTGTTGTCTGAACGTCATCGTGCAGGAGGAGCGGCTGCACAGCTTCATTGTAAATATTTTTTTTTGTGTGTGTCTGCTTGTGTCAGTTCCCACAGTGAACTCACACAGCAGACGGTAAAGACCTTTTCAGACCAATCAGCACTCACGTTGTGATCAAAGAGGCTGATTTGCATTTGAATACATGTACTGTGTAAGTCTGTCATTTTTTCTACTCTTTTAATAAAAACATTTTTCTAACGAAGGAAGGAAACATGCAATTGTCTGTCATCTTCATTTACAGCATTTCAGATCTGATGTTTAAAGGGTCATTTAGGCATAAAGCCATTGTGTTCTGAAAATGTTCTGTTGTTTTTTTAACAAGGTCACCACCCCCTCCCACTGGCTCCAGGTGAATTCTCCTGATTATATCCTGCTGCGTTCTCACATCAGCTCATTCTGACTTTCTGCAGAAAATTTGCTCGTCTAGCAGGAAACATTAAAGTTGAAGGCGGACAACTTCTCGACATTACGACTTAACTTTTCATTTTAAAAAAATTTTATTCGACAATTAATCCATCTGATTCTTCTAAAAAGTGAAAATATCGACAATAAAGTTGATTTACAACAAGATGAGAGTCAGTTTAAAACATATTCTCGTTATTAAAGAACACCGATTATGTTCAAAACAAAGACGTTGTAAAATATTAAAGGTGTCAAAATGTCCAAAATCCTAAAAAGTTTTAGCATCAGACAAATCGTACATTCTCTCACCGGCTTCTTTATTCGTCTCTATAAACTGGTTTCCGTGTATGAGCACCAACATGTGCTAAAATCCTTCTCCTCACATGTCACTCCAACATGGAGGTCAAAGTTCAGCAGAAACACAATCAGTCGCATTTTTTTTACTCGTGCGCTTGTTTCTCGTTTGCATGTGAAACAAACGAGCAGCCAAAAAAAAGCTGACGTCAAAATAATCAGGGCTCTGGTTCACACACCCTGATGGAGCAGCAACAGGCCGGTCTGAACAATGCACCCATCAGACCGTCAGGGTGATTAGCACAATCAGCAGGGTGCAACACCAGCGTCAGGAAGCTTGGCCTAGATCTGGACCAGTGGAGCAATCAGGACCCTCCAGCAGGGGGTCACGTGGATAAACAAGGAGAACATAAACAGAGGCTGGACTGCACACACACACACACACACACACACAGACAGACACACACACACACACACACACAAACAGACACACATAAACACACACACACGACGGAGGTGGTGATAAGCACAGTGAGAGATCCTCAATGAGAGCAACACAGAGAGTCTGACAAAGTTTAGAGAAGATCATAAAGTTATTGTAGTGTCCCACCTGTAGGCATGTATTTATACTCCTTATAATCAACATTTATACAGAGTGGTCATGAATAATCATAAAAGTATTTCAGTATGCTAATGAACTAATAGACACATATTATGCAAATTAGATAATTAAATAACAATAGTGTGAGGGTTGCATATTATAAACACAAACATAATCAACTAAGGATGAAATGCACAAAGGCGCATGTGTACATGAATTAAAACTGAGCCCACAAAGTGAAATCCATCAAGGATAGAGTGAAAATCCCTCGAGGCCTTAGGAACTCCGTCGAGGTTTGAAGGAACTTTACCTACACTCTATGAGTAGTTACACACACTTTTGTGTTTTTTATTTTTTATATTTTATATTTGACATTTTTAAATTGTATTTTATATATTGTAATATCTTCTTATTCTGTATTATTTAAGTTGTTGTTAGTTCTGCTTTATTTCCTTGTTAATTGTTTAGCACCAATACACCAAGTCAAATTCCTTTATGTGTAAATGTACTTGCAATAAACCCAGATTCTGATTCTGATTCTGATTCTGATTCTGATTCTGATTCTGATTCTGATTCTGATTCTGATTCTGATTCTGATAATCCGTCGAGGCCTAAAAGAAAACCTTGCATAGTCTCAAAGTGAGTTCTCAAGTTTCGTACGAGCTCGCTCTTGGGGTCATTAAGTAGTAAATCTTAAGCCAACCTGACATTTACGAGAGGTGAAGGAGAGACAAATATGAGTCAATAGGACAGTGAAACGAGAAAGGGACCATCATTCAATGAAGACCTGACATACATGCTAGGCTGGTGTGCCAATGACCCGGTCTCAAGAGGGTTGGCCAGACCAGATATTGACCCCATTTATCAAGAAGACATGACTTTGCAGTAGGTTTTTGTGACAGTGGTCATGTATGGGACACAGTTAGAAATATCAAGCCCATGAAACAGGAGGATCTAGTGATGGAGGAGGCGGATACCATTAGACCGTCGCTTCAAGCTGTGATATTTACGCCCCTTCAGTCTGAATGTTGTGGAGGCGTGATTGGGGGACGAAGTGACCCCCATTCAGAGGCAGTGACAGCGGCGTTACAGAGGAGAGGAGGGATCAGCTGAGGCAGCGGGGGAGAACAGCGCTGTGTGTGTGCACATGTCTGACTGTGTGTGTATGCAGAGGCGCTGCTTGTCAACAGGCGAGGCGTGCGACTGCTTGGGGGCCCCAGACCAGTAGGGGGCCCCTGAGGGCTCACAAACTTTAAACCACAGCAGCTGCCCAAAATCAGCAAATTACGCAATGACAGTAGGAAACCTGTAGGAGAGAAAACAAAAAACAGGAAGTGGAGTATCGACGGGGCAATGACATACATGATGGTGATGAATGCAGGTTGAAGTGCCCCCCAAATATGTCCAACAGACTCTCGAATCGCCACTGTAGGTATGTGACGCTCCCGCTGTGCTGCCGCAACAAGATACGACTTCACAGACTGGACACTGGTATTATTGGTGGGTTCCATTAAAGGCAGGTTGGTCTTTGATCCAGTAGATCCCTTATCTCGAGCTGCACTCACCTGCATTGCTGTGTTAGCATGCTAATGTTAGCGCTCTGTAGTTAGCTCGTAGCTTCACATTGTTGTGTTAGCATGCTAATGTTAGCGCTCTGTAGTTAGCTCGTAGCTTCACATTGTTGTGTTAGCATGCTAATGTTAGCGCTCTGTAGTTAGCTCGTAGCTTCACATTGCTGTGTTAGCATGCTAATGTTAGCGCTCTGTAGTTAGCTCGTAGCTTCACATTGTTGTGTTAGCATGCTAATGTTAGCGCTCTGTAGTTAGCTCGTAGCTTCACATTGCTGTGTTAGCATGCTAATGTTAGCGCTCTGTAGTCAGCTCGTAGCTTCACATTGCTGTGTTAGCATGCTAATGTTAGCGCTCTGTAGTCAGCTCGTAGCTTCACATTGCTGTGTTAGCATGCTAATGTTAGCGCTCTTTAGTCAGCTCGTAGCTTCACATTGTTGTGTTAGCATGCTAATGTTAGCGCTCTTTAGTTAGCTCGTAGCTGTGTTAGCATGCTAATGTTAGCGCTCTTTAGTCAGCTCGTAGCTTCACATTGTCGTGTTAGCATGCTAATGTTAGCGCTCTTTAGTCAGCTCGTAGCTTCACATTGTCGTGTTAGCATGCTAATGTTAGCGCTCTTTAGTTAGCTCGTAGCTTCACATTGTCGTGTTAGCATGCTAATGTTAGCGCTCTTTAGTCAGCTCGTAGCTTCACATTGTCGTGTTAGCATGCTAATGTTAGCGCTCTTTAGTCAGCTCGTAGCTTCACATTGTCGTGTTAGCATGCTAATGTTAGCGCTCTTTAGTCAGCTCGTAGCTTCACATTGTCGTGTTAGCATGCTAATGTTAGCGCTCTTTAGTCAGCTCGTAGCTTCACATTGTCGTGTTAGCATGCTAATGTTAGCGCTCTTTAGTCAGCTCGTAGCTTCACATTGTCGTGTTAGCATGCTAATGTTAGCGCTCTGTAGTTAGCTCGTAGCTTCACATTGTCGTGTTAGCATGCTAATGTTAGCGCTCTTTAGTTAGCTCGTAGCTTCACATTGCTGTGTTAGCATGCTAATGTTAGCGCTCTGTAGTTAGCTCGTAGCTTCACATTGTTGTGTTAGCATGTTAATGTTAGCGCTCTTTAGTTAGCTCGTAGCTGTGTTAGCATGCTAATGTTAGCGCTCTTAGTTAGCTCGTAGCTTCACATTGTTGTGTTAGCATGCTAATGTTAGCGCTCTTTAGTCAGCTCGTAGCTTCACATTGTTGTGTTAGCATGCTAATGTTAGCGCTCTTTAGTCAGCTCGTAGCTTCACATTGTTGTGTTAGCATGCTAATGTTAGCGCTCTTTAGTCAGCTCGTAGCTTCACATTGTTGTGTTAGCATGCTAATGTTAGCGCTCTTTAGTCAGCTCGTAGCTTCACATTGTTGTGTTAGCATGCTAATGTTAGCGCTCTTTAGTCAGCTCGTAGCTTCACATTGCTGTGTTAGCATGCTAATGTTAGCGCTCTGTAGTTAGCTCGTAGCTTCACATTGTTGTGTTAGCATGCTAATGTTAGCGCTCTTTAGTCAGCTCGTAGCTTCACATTGCTGTGTTAGCATGCTAATGTTAGCGCTCTGTAGTTAGCTCGTAGCTTCACATTGTTGTGTTAGCATGCTAATGTCAGCGCTCTTTAGTCAGCTCGTAGCTTCACATTGTTGTGTTAGCATGCTAATGTTAGCGCTCTTTAGTTAGCTCGTAGCTTCACATTGTTGTGTTAGCATGCTAATGTTAGCGCTCTTTAGTCAGCTCGTAGCTTCACATTGCTGTGTTAGCATGCTAATGTTAGCGCTCTTTAGTCAGCTCGTAGCTTCACATTGCTGTGTTAGCATGCTAATGTTAGCGCTCTTTAGTTAGCTCGTAGCTTCACATTTCATGTAAACTGACACAGAATGAGCGTGATCTAAAAACTCTTACTAACATCCAAATAATCAGTGAGTATGTTCTTCTTCTTCTCTCTAGTTCTTGACTAAAACAGCTTTTATACACAAGGGGAGGAGCCGGCCGTCCCGTCCATGTAAACACGGCTCTGACAACAACACAGCCAGCGGGACTCGAGCTTCTCCCTCATTGTAGACAGTCAGGACTCAGAGACACATTTACACAGGACAGACTTTATGATTTATTGATGTGGAACATGTTGATCATTCTTCTTTTTAGATTGTATCACAAAAATCAAAGACACCACAGAAGAAGACTTTCCATGGTCTAAATACTTTTACATGATTAAAAATCATTCTTCATCACCTTTAGTGATATAAAACCTTCCAGGTGTTCTTCTATCTTCAGGCTCACAAATTGTCTTCACGTCTCTTTGAATCCTGTTCTCCTTGTTTTG